AATAATTATCGTAGTGTATGATTGGAAACAGGTATTTCCTATGGCTATAAACAAAACTGAAAAATCAAAGTCAAACTGTAGGACGAATCTAAGGCCCTTCTTTTACAAGGAATGACAGGGTGGTGATGTCCATATATAAATTAACACACACACATGCACAACTGAACTTGATCTTCTGAGAGGAAATTGATAATAGCCCATCGATTGTTCTTAACTATCTCTTACTATATCATGCTTGCTCTAGCTCGCTTGCGCTTTTTAGAATTAATAGACTTATGACTCAGTATTGTCGTGCTCCCGTACACGCATCCACCAGACTTGAAAACATTACATATATACTGTATGTAGAAACTTCGGGCGTACAATTATAAATGGAGTACTGACAGAGAGTGGTGGATATCCTTAAACTCTCACAGATGAACTTGAATTCTTTTGCGAAAACTTTAAACAGCTCAACATCCTTGTGGTCACGGGAAAAAAAGAAAAGAGAACTATATTGTCAACGTATGGTGTATACATTTTTTTAAAAAAACTAGAAAAGTAGCCCACGTATTTGCGCGGACATGTATTTTAGATTATGTTTGAAAAACTTATATAGACAGAATATGAACCGGATGACACCTGTAATATTTAATACATCGCTATAAATAATTTGTAATTATCTATGATCGATTTTGAGAGGTGATTTTTTCTTAAAGATAATTATAGGGTGTTGCAATATCATAGAAGATGTATCTATAATACAGACATACTTACAGTAAACATCGGTTTTTATCTGTAAATTTATTATTACATAAATAATCTAACAACATAAACTTACACTACCACATAAACCTGGATAGATACTGCTTGGGAACCCGGCTAGGTGCTGAATTTCCCAACCGGCACCTAGGAAGCGGCACTGATGAGAGAAATCGGAGGTGCCGGTTCTAAAACTGGGATCTTTGAGGTCCCAGGAATAAAAAAAAAAGGCATCGAGCAGCTCCCCTTCACCCTGGCCAGAACACATCGAAGAACATCAAGAACATCCAAGAACACATGAACATGAACATCAATAATATTCTTCCCAGCCACTGGGAACCAAGCTACTCATCCCTATTAAGAACACAATCACAAAATGCACATCACAAACATATAGATAACACATAGAGTCACCGCTCGACACCACCGCCGATGCCGCCGCCTCCTCGTGGGGAGGGCACTACCGTTGCCCGCTGCCTCTCCTCCCGTCGGATAAGGCGAAGGAGAGGTCGCCACCGCCGCCGCTGCCTCCTCCCTGTGGAGAGGGCACCACTGATGCCTGCCACCTCCCCTTTGGCACCACTGCCTCCCCTTCCCCGGATCTGGTGGAGGGGAGGGCGCTGCCGCTTCCCGCCGCCTCCCCTCGGGCGCCGCCGCCTGCCACATCATCCCCGTGGGGAGGGCGCCACCGTCTCCCCTCTGACCGGATCCGGTGGAGGAGAGGGCGCTACCACCGCCGCCGAGCCGACAGAGAGGAGCGCGCGAAAGATAGTGATAGAGATCAGAAAAGGAGAGGAGCGCGCGAGAGAGAAAGAGCGAGAGACTCAGTCTTATCCGCGAGAGAGAGAGAGGCACCGAGCCCTCTCAGCCTTATCCGCTTGAGACCACCGGTCGGCTCGGGTTAGTTTTTTAGTGTCGTTTTTTAAAAGCCGATATATTGAAGGTGTCGGTTTTTAATTAACCGATACTTATAAGAAATTAAAGGTGTCAACTTTTATTATAAAACCGACACCTATATTATAAAAAGACGGCACCTATATTCTATTAAAGGTGTCAGTTTTTTTTATTTTCAACCCAGAGAGGTGGGAAATGGTCTATAGGTGCCGGTTTTATCACTTCCGACAACTATAACATCGATTTCTATCTGTCTTTTTAGTAGTGTGATCAAAACATGTATGTATGATTATACTATATAAAAGCATATTATAATTCTTTTATGATTTAAATGCTATTGTTGCCTAAATATTTTTACATAAATTTTGCTTTCTATTAGAAGAAGGAAAATAGGAGAGATAAATGGATAATAGAATGAAAAGAGAATAATGGGAATAGGAGCGTACAGAACATACGCATACGTGCGTCCACACGAATACAGTGGGGCCCAAGTTGGCGGTAGATTAGAATTGGTGGATTACTCTTTTTTCTACATCTGATCTAATGGTTGTAAAGGATGGACCCACCAATTTAAATGAAAATCAAGGGCTAGATGTTTCTTTGCCATGTGGCAGCTTAGGAGCGTTTGTAGAGTGCCACGTGACGATATGGGAGCGTTTGTAGAAAGTTTAATGGACTTTTAGTATATAATAACTAGGAAGGTAGCCCGCGCATTCGCGTGGGTATGTATCGTATGTTTCGTTTGAGACACTTACAGGAGAGGAATATTAACCGGATAACACGTGCCATACTTTAGAAATATGATTGCTTCGAAAATTTTCTTGTTGGCGTTCCTGAGATAATTTTTCTAACCTATTAGTGTTGTTCTAATTATCTAAGGCAATTATTATGCAATGGTTAATGGAATAGTTATTTCAAAATTATAGCACTTCACAAATGGCGAAAGATCATTTTCCTTGATCGGATTATTTCAGCACATTACTTTTAAAAAGCTCATGAAGCAAGCAGATTGTTTAATCTATCTGGTCTTTTATGTAGGGCTTGGACTATTCAAATGTGAGTCAGCTCTTTTTGTTTATATAATGTATACCTAATTTAGTTATGAATGTTTGCAAAACAATGTATAATGTTGTGATTGGTGTTCTCAAATTATTTCATATTTTTATAGCAATTCAGATAACATGTAACGTGGCAGTGATGTTTCTCCCTCTAAATTATTATGTAGTGGCTTGGACTATTCATATTCGAGCTATTTGTTTCTTAGGTACTATATATCCAATTTAGTTATTCATGTTTGAGAAATAATACATGATGGTGCAACAGGTATAGTTGAAATATATTATAGCTTTTTATGGCAATTTGGACAACATGTAAAATGGCATGTGTTGTCCATCGATAAAAATAGGGTATTCTTTTATACTTGAATTTATAATTTTTGTTTCGACACCATTAATTTTGTTTTAGCTATGTATATTTATGGAATAATATATAGAATGACGTAACATATATTGATAATTTTTTATTGTATTACTTTGCTATCTGGATGACATGCAAAATGCATGGATCGTCTATTTCCGAGTGATATATTTGTAATATAGAAAAGTATAGGCATATGGACCTTAAATTATTCATTTAATTATAAATAGAAAAATAGTTATAATAGAAAATAGACATGTAACTTAAATTTTATTGCCATTTTAAAATGTATAACTGTTGATTATTTCTCTTCTAGTTTGATAGCTAAATAACTTAAAGGTGGAGAGGAAATAGATCTGTCGATAATGGTTGAAAAATTGATGTAATTTATATGGAAACTGATGGTATGTTGTTTTGCTTTTTTTCCTTTGAATCTTTTCTTATTTTGAGAACATGGTGCGCCATGATTTAAGAGTGTTTTATAGGACATTTAACATTGTATTATTATGTACAATGTACAATGATTTAAGATGATATAATACATATTGATTTTTCTTAATATTTGATTGTAATTTGGTTATAATGCTGATAGGGGGTGTATGTTGTATTTTAATTTTGACATCTTGTGATTTAGAGTGCTTTTAAGGATATTTAATGAACAATTAATGGATTTTTATTACGTAGAATGATTTATGATGATATAATACATATTGTCAATTTTTTTTACTGTTTTATTCAGATGCAGTTACTATGCAAAGGGTAGGATGGCGGTATCTATGACGTATTTAAATTTTTACAAAGTAACATATATGTAATATAGATCTTGACTTATTTATTTAATTATAATATAGTAACAATTAAAATAAATAAAAAATAGATATAACTGATCACTTAGCTATGTAACTATTGCTTTTTTAATATATTAGGTTGTTAATTTGAAAGTAGTAGAGGAGATAACTGAAAGGGAGTTGAGAGGAGGGATGGGAGACGGTAGTACATGCATATGGTAGGATGAGGTAGTGCTTCAATTTTTTTTCACTAGTAATATGCCCGTACTAACGTTACGGTGATAATTTGTTAGTACGGTGACAATTTTAGTTAGTGCACAAACGACCCACAAGCTTGTGCGGATGTGTCTTTTGATTTCCTAAACTCTCAAAATATATTTTCGGATTTCCGAACTTGTCTTGGGTATCACATAGGTCCAAACGGACTCCAACTTGCTTTGTACGTTGACATGGCATACCATGGTGACGTCTATATGTATTTTCGGATTTCAGAACTTGTCCTAAATATCACATAGGTCCAAACGGGCTAACGGGCTCCAACCCGTTCTATACGTTGACACGTCCTGGGTATCACATAGGTCCAAACGGACTCCAACACACTCTTTACGTTGACGTGACATGCTACGGTAATGTCTAAACGCCAATGCGTCATATAAAAAATATTTTTTTTTAAAAAAAGCATCTTTTGTCCTCTCTCTCTCTTAACTCTCCACTCTTTTATTTTTCTATATAACTGAAATATAAATTCCACTGACACAAAAACCACGGCTGTGGTATGCTATATCAGTGCATGGAGCAAGTCGAAGATAATGGCAACACATCACTCCACTTCTTTTTTAGGCAATGACACCACTTTATTACTCCCTCCATTTTAAAATATAAGGCTCAACCACTATTAATCCAAAATTTTGTCCGTGCTAACACTACGACAATTTTTGTAAAGATGGCATTTACATAACAAAAAGTTCTACATAACAAAAAAATCTACATAACAAAAATTTACTGCTCAGATATACAAAGATGGCATTTACTCATGCAAAGCAGGACAACGTGCAACTTCTAGTATATAGATATTGTAGTATCAGGAGACACAACTTGGGAAAAGAATGTGTGTTTTTACTGGTATGAGGAAATATATATTAGCTGAACAATTGTGTATTTCAATAATTAGCAGGAATTTTGAACGTTATATGGAAAAGAAGTGAATGTATTTTCACTAATTATCCGCCATCAGAGACGACAGGTACTTTCACTAAGGTAGAGCTGAACAAACCATATAGAAGCACTCCAGAAATAATCGCCCTTAAACAGAAGAACTTGTAGGAGATTATTGACAATTCAAAAACTTCCATTTTAATAGAACAGTGTAATCAGCCTAGCAAAAACAGAACTCTGCTCAGTGATCACATCTAAGTTCTGAAGTCTGAAAATCTCTGTTCTCTCTAAATTAGTCTTCCCGATTCTGAACTTGTCCATTTCTCTGAAGCACAGACGGTTATGACTGATCTACTTGTTTGAAGTGTTACCTGCAGCTTGGCGAATTTGCCTAGGTCAGCTGGCAAGAAGCTCTTCCTACTGCAGCTCAGCTCGGTCTTCCCCAAGGACAGCTGTAAACTGGCGAGGAAGACAGACGCCACCAGGCGCTGGACAGCTGGAGTGAGTTCCACTCGGCAATGTATAGCAGCACACCCGAAATAAATCATTGCAGGCCACATGAAATGCAAAAGGATGATCTTTCATGTGCAAAAGAATGCATATGACAGCAATTCTGCTTGTATAACCCAAGCACATTATCTTGCGCAACATCAGATCCTTGAGAGGCAAAGAAGCTCACCTTCGATAAAAGAACCTAAAATTCAAACCATAAGTTCAGAAGGATTACCATAGTAAACAATATACAAAACCCAAAACCAATGTTTGCTGGTCATACTCAATGCAAACAGGCCACTGAAGAAAGATTCAATATATAAACATGTTCATAAATAAATTTTGCACATTAATAACTGAAGAAGGACAATTATGCTCTGATTTTTGCCTGTAGTTTGCATTGCTCTAATTTTTGCCAATATTGCTCTAATCTGGGAGCAGTAGAAATTGTTATATGCAGTAACTTTGAATGATTCGCGAAGGAGAATAATATTTTCCTGTCACACAGTTAAACCCATGTACAGGAAGATGCTAGGTTGATTTGTATTTATTCCGAAAGAGAAGAATCACTAATAAAAATCCTCATAATCAACCAAACTAAGTCATAGCAAACTCCTAATCTAGTACAGTTCACTATCAACTCCATGGTGCATTCATAGACTGAACTATCTTTTATTTTTTGAATGTGACAGGACCAAATTGAGAAAACACAATTCTACTGAGATCCGAGACAAGCTCAACGGGCCACCTAGTCATGCCGTGGTTTGTCAAGAACCCATACCAACATCAAGCACCAGTTTTAACTGTTGGAGCAACCAACAGCCACATGAATCCATCCACGCAGCTTCTCATCCACATGCACAAGAACAGCATGTACTCCTCAGCAGATGACCACGCAAGCAATGGGCACAATTAATATTGAACCCAAAATATAAGTCACAAATTCCATCCAAATACCATAATACAGGATTTAGTACAGCTAGGAAATTGAAGAGACTGAGTACATACACTTTGGCTGTTTAAAATAAAACTTTTTTTGTGTATTATCTCTTCAAGTGCTCAATCAGAAAAGGTTAATCAGAATTGTCACCAGGTGTCAACCTCACAAACCAAGTAGACAGATTTGTTTTATCACTAATGTGACAGACCGAATTGAACTTTTGCATATCATCATTGTAAACAAGGTAGATCTTTTTTTTTTTCAGTTGGAACCAGCATGCAAACAACTAAATCAGAAATGTGATGCCCTGTCATGGCCTAGGTTATGTAGAATCTGAATTTTCTTGTGCCTTGCTAAAGAAAGAACGACTGTCCATGTTTCTTCATATTTGAAGATTCAAATAATTCGAGGCTTTCAATTTTGAAATAAATCACTGGATCTTGTTAAAAGAAAAATCAGAGAGAAACTAAAATTAGTGAAAGAGCATATCACAATGGCTAGAATGCTTGATCTGCACCGATGACGCCTGAAGGTGACACAGGGAGTTGAAACTAAAATATCAGTTCTGAATGCACAGTGCAAAATAAAAAATATCAGGAGGTGGTAAAACAGCATCATCATGTTGCCCATTTTTCAGTATGTATTAGGATGCTAAGCATAATTTAGCAACACGCAAATGCATGTTTTATTAGGGATTTCTAAATGCAGGTAAGGTTTTCTAAACTAAATTCAGGTAATGTTTTCTTAGCAACACGCAACTGCATGTTTTCTAAGTTGGTTTTCTTCTGAATTCAGGTCAGGTTCATCTCTCCAAACCTATAAACTAAAAAGTTAATTTCTAAAAACTAAATTCTTCTGAATTCAAGTAAGGTTTATCTCTGAACAATCCAAAATAGAAACGGCATTATGAAAAAAACTAAAAACTTCAGATCCCATAGCGAAGTTAAAAAAGGGAGCAGTGAAGAATTTGGTTGTGCCTTGAATTCAGTGAATGAGATTGTGAGGGATAGAAGCAACCGTCCGAAGTGATACGGGAATGGACAATCACCGGCGAAGCTGTTGTCTGAAACAATGGCGAGGTGCCACCCTTGAAAGCAGTTGTTCTGCATATGAATATATTAATGACGTATTAATTTTTAGTAATTAAGCTCAACTGAGAGTGAATAAAAAAATTACAAGCACTGAAGGGGTTGAACTTCTATTTGAAGCATGATTCGGAGTCTCTTAAAGTCAAAATTTGTAAAAATGTGAAAGGGAAAATTGCAACCAATTGCCATAGAAAAATATAAGTGCTCACTTAAAAAATCTTAGAACATATCAACTCCAAACATATATACAGTTGATCAACTCCAAGAGATAGTGTATATTCCTTAAAAAAAGGAGATAGTGTATATCAATATTGTGCATTCAGAAATATGCAAACAGTGAACCATATCAATGGTAATTTCTGTGCAAGAGGTTTACCTTTTTTTAATGTTTGCCGGTGGCGGAGTGGTGGAGAAGGGGGCAGCGGCGGAGGGGTGGCGGTGGAGCTTGAGGTGTCGGGGACAGCAACACGTTGATCTGTGCGGGGCGGCGGTGGAGCTTCCGGCGGGGAACAGCAGCGGTCGGCGGAGATTGATGACCGGCCAGGTGTGCAACGTTGATTCAGCAACGCAGATCGGTGGCGGCAAGGAGAAGGTCAAGGAGATATCAGGGTTTCCGTAGAGGAGGACGGGAGGGGATCGCGAGGAGTGACGGCGCAGAGCCGGTCGTCGAGGCGGAGATCGTCGGTGGCGCGAGGGGAGCGGCAGAGGATGGGAGGGGATCAGCGAGGTGGGCGTCAGTGTCCCGGCGTGGTTCGGTGGGGGCGTCGCCTCCCTGGCGGCAGCAGCGGCTGAGTGAAGGCATCGCGTTGTCGGAGGAGATCAGCGAGCTGTGGTGATGGCGACGATCCGCGCCGCCGGCCGAGGAGTAGGTTGCCGGGGTGCCGTCGTTGGTGGCGGGGGCTCGGCGCCGATCTGGATCTGGCCATAGAAGGGGGCGCGGAGGAGATCGACGCGGGGTCGGTGGTGGCGCCAAGGAGATCGACGCGAGGCGACTCGTCGAGGCGGCGATGGGCGATCGGCGGGCGCTATGGTTGTGGGTGATCGGGATCCTGACGCGCGGTCGCGCCGATGCGGAGGAGGCGCGGCGATTGCGGCAGAGAGAGAGGGGGGTGCGGGAGAGGATGAGGAGCGACACGCGCGCATCTGGGACGTTGGATCCAAATTCTTCAGATGGTTTTGACCGTTGGATGTGTGATATGACGAATGATGAATGAGTAAAACCATTTGTTAAACTATAGGGTAGAAATGTATTTATTAGATTCACTGGTAGAGGAAGTCGAGGGAAATATTTGTAAATGAATGTGGTGTTTCTTGTGACTTATTTAAACCTAATAAAGGGAGTAATTGTTTGCACTATTTGACCGAGAAAGGGATAAAGAGACTATAGGCTGAGTTAGACTTATTGATTTAGGCTTTTGTCACACCCTGAAAATTCAAAATATATAAATTGTTGTTTAAATGGAATTTTTTAGAAATAATTTTAAAAGTCTTGAAGAGAAGATCTAATTTTAATTAATAAATTCCAATATAAAATGGGGCCAGATAAAATTTCGTTAAATACTTTGCTTAATTCTATAATTCCTAGATTTTTCTGGGATTTATTTGAGCTAAGGAAGTATTTTTAATAAATGGAATTGCATTTAAGAAATAATTTAAATTGAAAAAGGTTTTAAAAAGTCTCTTTTGGCTTTGGGCCGAAAGTCGGCCCAAATCTCTTCTCTCTCTCCTCGGCCCAAGTCGGCCCAGACCGCAGCCGCGCGCGCGCGTCCGCCCGCTGACAGGGTCGTCGTCAACCTCGCGCCGCCGCCGCCCGAAACCCTAGCGCGCCGCCGCCGTCGTTTCCTTCCAAATCCGGCCGCTCCTTTCCGTTTCCGGCCGAATTGATAGAGGGGAAATGATCCTCGGGATCTCCTCTACCTTTTTCTCTTTTGGAAGCATCGGCTAATTCGTTTTGGAAGTTCGTGGAATCGAGTTCGATTCGGATCGGCTTCTTTCCTCCGAACCCCGAAGTTTCCTTCTCGTCGCCGGCCGCCGTGGGCCTTCGTCGTCGCCTCCTATCCCCTTTAAAAGGCTCCCCGGTGTCTCCTCTACCCGCCGCCACCCTCGCCTTCGCCTCTCGTCGTCGGAAACGCCCTAGCGCCGTGTACCCTAGCGCCGCCGTCGCCGCCGTTGCTCCAGCCGTGCGCCGCCGCCGTTCCGGTCATCGCCGTCGCTCGGGAAGACCGCCGTCGGGGTCGCCAAGTCGCCGCCGTCCTCGTCCGCCCCTTCGCCGTCGCCGAAGATCACCGGAGCACCGTCGCCGCCGTCGACCCGATCTCCGCTGCCGTTTCAACCTCGTCGCCGTCGCCGTCCGTTGGTCTTCCGCCGCTCCTTTGGTCACCGGTGAGTTCGCCGCGTCGCGCTCTACCCGTTGGTGTCCTCCGTTCGTGCCGAAGCGCCGCCGTTCGTCGCCGAGCGTGCGCCGTCCGAGCCGCCGAGCCGCCGCCGCTGGTGACGTCACCGCTGACGTCATCGTCGCCCTCTCCCGTGAGCCGGTCGTGGACCGATCGATCTCGGCCGTCCGTTTTGGATCAAGTCGATCTCGGCCGTCCGTTCGCGTGAACCGCCGCCGTGCGCCCGGTCCACCGCAAACCCTAGCCCGCTGACGCAATAAATCCCCCTTTTCCTTTTCAAAAATAATTCATTATTGCGTCATAATTCAATTAAAATCTATATAAGTGTTTTAATCCGATTAAATCTTTAAAAATTCATAACTAATTCATCTTAGCTCGGATTTAGTTGGTTCAAGTCTCTAAATTTTTCTAAAATTGAGATCTACATGTTAAAAATATCCACATGTACTGTTCATGCTTGTTTATGTGCTGTTTTGGTGATTTTGCTTCTTTCTGCTTAGATTCCGTCGTTTCCGGAGAGTCCGTTTCCGCAGGAGAAGAGTTTGAAGAGTTCCAAGGCCAGCAAGGCAAGTCACACAGATCCCAAACAACCCTTTGAGCATGTTGATCCTGTTTAAAGCTATTGTTTCTATTCAACTATTGCATTTATTTTCGAATGTCATTGGGTGGAATTAACCTATTGTTTGTTATAGCCCTTTTGTTCTTGTTTACCTTAATCCTTGATACCTTGGGTTATTATAACTTGACTAGTTGAGCTTTATTTATTGGTTCAACTAGATATTAGATATAATTGCTTAGCCCTGCTTAGAAACATTAGCACACTATTGGGATAACTTATGACTCACTATTATTTAATGATGGCTTAATGATAGTTCACGATGGTCAATCGTGATTGGTTAATTAATTAATGTGCCAACTAAAACCTGGTAATGGTGGGTTGTGAGCACATGGTTTTGATGGTCGTGCTCATGACAATTAAGGACCGGTTCACGAGTTTCGGTTGTGAAACATTAACCGTGCCAACCACAAGCCAGCGTGGGCAACGGCTTTATCTTTTGTATAGCATGGTTCATTGCGGGGCACCAGACTGAGAAGTGGCGGAGATAAGCCCACGGGGGTCGCTGGGGAGTCCATGCCTTGTTTATAAGGGGGTGATTATGATCCAGGAAGGTGCGCTGCCGTGGATTGTGTTATGCAAGGGGTATTGTCACAACTCCTTTCCGAGGTACCGTGGTGGTATTGAGGCACATGGTGACATGATGTGGGGTTGTGTCTTGTGGGTACAGTGGTACACCTCTGATCAGAGTAAAACTATTCGAATAGCCGTGCCCGCGGTTATGGGCGGGTCTAACAATGTCTTTCGTGATTAGTCTCACACTTCTCACCATAGTAAATGATGCTATAATTGGTAATAATTTGATTAGCTCCTGGTTTGGAATGGTACATTCCTGGTTTGGAGATAGAACTGTGCAGCCGGGATGGTTGTTCAGGATGGTTGGGCCTATACAACAGGGTATGTTGTATAGCGTTGGATTAATATTGTTTAATTACTTAACTGTTTTATTAAATTCTCAAATGTTTGCTAAATGCTGCTTTTGCAAATGAAACCCTATTATGCCCTCCTATGTTATCCTGTGCACTTGCATATTTGCTGCGTGGCTTGCTGAGTATGTCATATACTCACCTTGCAATCATTCATCAGAGGAAGAGTTCTACAATGAGGCTGATGGTGTGGAGTATTAGGTGTATCCTTGGTCAAGCTGCCTGTGGAGTGGAGCCGTCTGCGCCGTTTATCTTATTTTCCGCTGCTTAGATCTTTATTGATTGAGAGGAACTATCTACCTCTGTAATGACATTTTATTCGCTTATTAATTAGAGTAATAAATGTACTCTATTATCAATTTGTTATTGTGTGCCTCGGCTGATTCCTGGACGAGGGTTCACACACATGTAAGCGTTTGGAATTTTGGATAGAAATTCCGGGCATGACAGCTTTTAAATCAGCTTATCTGCTTATATGATTTATAAGCCTGTGGATTGAATATCCTAAGTTTAGTGGTGGAGTCATACATCTACCTCATATAAGAAAAAAAAACATCTCTAACTTAGCTATTAGATTTTGGTTTAATATTAGTGTGAGAGTGGCTTATGACTTAAAAAAAACCAAACAAAAAAACTGATTGTTTATTTAGGCTCAGAATTTTTTTTTACTTATATGCGTAAACAAATAGGGCCATAATATGGTTGATATCATAATTTTTAAACTAAAATATAATTAATATGTGATGCAATTTTTTAATAAATAAAATAGATGTGCCATATTTTATATAGTACGTCATCTATAAAGATAGATCTGAAAGGCATAAAAGATTATAATATGATTCTTTGTGATAATTTTTAAATTAAAATATAATTAATATGTTAACATTAAAGATAAGATGGATGTGCCACGTTTTAAATAGTCATCCATAAGGATAAGTATAGATAATTTGTTTTTCTATATCATATTCGTATGTACATATGTATGTACGTATTTTTTTCTGTCAAATAGTTATGTGTTTTTTTTTGCCTTTTTTGGGTACGTACGTATATATGCATTTGTTTTTCGTTTTTTCTTGCAGCCTTTTTTTCTTAATGGAGAAGTGGAAGAAAAATATATGTACACAAATGGCCCGATGGGTGGGGAGTAGGGCCCGTAATTTTTTTAATTTTAACTATTATGTGGGGATAAAAGGAAGGAGAAAAAAGAAAAAGAAACGGAGGTCAGATGGATTGTACGTACGCTGCTGCGGAGGGATCGTACCTATGTTGGACGGAGGTTCCCTGTAAAGATATATCTAACGATTAAAATCAATGGGTCCACCAATTTAACGAAAATCGATGGTCAGATTTCTCTATTTTATTTTATTAGAGTGACATGTGGCGACTCGAGGGTGTATATAGGATGACACATGGCAGCTTAGGAGCGTTTGTAGGAAGTTTAATGGACTTTTAGTATATAATAATAGATAGATAGATGTTTGACTATTTATCTTATTTAAAAAATTTATGTAATTACTCCCTCCGTATTTTAATATATGACGTCGTTGACTTTTTTAAACAACTTTTAACCATTCATCTTTCGTCTTATTCAAAATTTTATATAAATATAAAAATATTTATGTCATGCTTATAAATCAAGTCACAATAAATAAATGATAATTACATAAATTATTTTACATAAAATAAACGACTAAACGTTAACCAAAATATCAACGGCATCATACATTAAGATATAGAGGGAGTATCATTTATTTTATTGTTATTTGATTTATCATCAAATGTTCTTTAAATATGACATAAATATTTTTATATTTGCACAAAAAATTTAAATAAGACAAGTCAAGCGTTGGTTAAAAAGTCAACGACGTAATACATTAAAATACGGAGGGAGGACGTATCAACCAGACTTAAAATTGCAAGTGTGTAGAAGCTTCATATACAAAAAATATAATTACAAATTAGAAGTATGTACGCGACAAAACTACACTTCATACGTTTCAAATTCTAAAACCCAAAAACTAATAAATCAACGGACAAAGCACATAGTATTCCAATGTTTTCTATGGATCGCAAGACAAGGTGTCAAGGTGGTGGATGTCCATAAATGCGCACAACTGACCTCTAATACTTTGAGAAAGTTTTATATGACCTATTGATTACATATATAGTACTTGCATAAGCTTACTCTGTCAGGCATATGCTTG